ATTCCCCTTTTGTTGTAACTTCTTGTTTCATATAACAACTGTAGCAACTTGATCACTGTCACAGGCTGACTGTTTGTCGTCGAGTGAATAATGCGCATGCGCGCATGCTTATGCAGCAGGTTCTCGGTCAGAAAGCATAACAGTCGTACATACCAACAAGCAGAATAATAGTATAGATTTTTTATACTGACTTAAAATCCTGATTGTATTACAGTTCAAAATAAAAATTAGTGGTTTACTCAGTCTTAATTACAAAAGCCACAATTTGTACTTGTTGCTTAACCTACAGTATACAGATAATAAAATTCATAGTATCTAGTTGTATTTGCAAAATATAAATACTCATTAAAAATATAGTGTGTTTATATACAAATTGTAGTTTATGGCACTTTGCCAATATTTCATTAAACAAACTTTAAATTATTTTTTAAATGTAATAAATGTGTAATATCTACTTGATCATAAAAATTTTTGACTGCACACCAATTCAGCTCATTAGACAGTTTATGCTTTTGAGCTTGCACATGTGTGCCAAAGAATTGTATGGAGAAAATACCTCAATGTGACCTTTGTTTTACATAATGTTGCTTCTCCCGACAAATTGTGTGCCACCAGATATAATGTTGTGATTGGGATTGATTTTTTAAGTGTAAAGTTAATAAATCATATAATAACAAAAGTTTGCCGAGTTGAAGTTGGTGAAAGATTAATACCATCAGTACAGATTGAGTCTGTTATTTTAATTGTCAGCTGAACCCTATAAGAACCGAGTTGGGCAGTTTAACCAAATTTGGAGCTATGAAAGTAAACATACTATAAATATTAATTTACCAAGTGTTTTCACAAACTTGGGCAAGCTTTACATACACATCAAAAGTCCATTATACACACAAAAAAAATAATAGTGTTTCTACTAAAGATGTGTCTGAATTTGCAAAGACTTTACTTAGTCTGAGTAAAGGGTGATTTTCATTTTAAGAATAAAAATACTTCTTTCTACTGTTTTCATATTTTGTTTGCTGGGCAGTTAGTGGTATTTGTTAATTATTTGATTGAATAGTACAGTGTTTCCTAAAGTATGGTATATACAAACAAACGAAAAAAGGTTGAGGTGGATGCTGCTAGACAGTTGCCTTTCCTCTAGTCCAGGAGACTCCAAACTAAGGCCAGCGGGCCACATCCGGCCCACGACTTCAGTTTGTCCAGACTGCCAAAAGTTTGTTAAAATATAATTTTTTAATATGATAAAAACCAAAAATTAAAATGTAATTGGGCAAAAGCCAATCTGATTATGTATGCATCCCTACTTAATTTTACCAAAACCCCCTCCAGCCTGCGAAACATAAAAAGATCTACCTCCCGGCCCTTGTCCAAAAAGGTTTGGAGACCCATGCTCTATTTAGCAGTTCAAAGTTAGTGATGGTAAATAGCTTGATAATTTTGTCATAGTAAAAACAGATAGAAAGTTTAGTGGCAGCTGGAATTAAATTGAACACTAGCTC